GTATGCTTGTGCTTGGAACGTTTGACGATAAGAAGTATACAATATCTACCTCCCACAGATAGAGATAGAGCTGCAGTAGGCTTGTGGTTTCGGCATTATATGGCCAGATCGATATATACGAGACGCTGCCTACCTGCATCCGCGTGCTGAAAGTTGTACATAAACAATTGGTAAGTTTGAGCAAGTGTTGTTAACATATATACTCTTTAATTGGTTTGAAAATATTTGGTTAAGTACCTAGAATTCAGTAATTTGCTGTTTGTGGGTTTTAGATGTGTAGAAAGTGTTGTTTGAGCAAATGTTTGGTTTCTGCAGGTTAATCCTGAAGTGAGCTGCGTGAAATGTATTTGTGCATAAACAACAGTCTGGGGTACACTTTTTTTTCTTTGTTTAATTGAATTTTACATTGAAAGTTGATCTGTTTAATTGATGAGGAAATTAGATTGATTTGTAAAAGTTGATTTGTTTAATTTGATTTGTAAATAAGAATTATTTTTTTGCTTGTTTAATTGATTTGTAAAAGTTGATTTGTTGTTTCTAAAAAATTCAATATGCATTATGTTTGAAGGCAAAAAAGACCTGTTGAAGGTACAAATTCGCAACGCGATTTTTGGTTTGTGAATTTGACTTTCGCGTTGATCGCAACATACAACATCAAGGTTAAATTGATATTGAAATTCAAACTCAAATTGAAATTTAAATTCAAACTCCAATTACATATGAAATGAATTTGAAATGCAGTGTTAAATTAAACATGGAAATTGCATCATTGATTCATAGTGTTCAAGTAACATGCTTTATGAACCATCAAGCTAAAAGAAAATATTATTGAGTTCAAACTTGAGTTGTGAGTTGATGGGGTTGTCACACTTGTCACATGGTTGGAATAAAGTACTCACATGGAAGAGATAGATTATTTTGTTATACACAGCCCATCTCATCTGAATGAAAATATACATACAATATAATCAACCCAAAACATACATACACAACAAATTTATACATAACAATGTTCAAATAATGTACCCACAAAAATGAAATTAATCTGATGAAAAAGGGTTATTTCTAACGAAGTCTGGAACATTATTTTTCCAAATAATGTACCCATAACAATGTTCAAATAATGTACCCACAATAATGTTTAATTGATTTGTTGTTTAATTTTCAATCTGCATTATGTTGAAGGTAAAAAAGACCTGTTGAAGGTAAATTTGCAACGCGAAAGTCAAATTCGCAACGCTTTCACGTTGCGAATTTGACTTTTGCGTTGCAAATTTGACTTTCGCGTTGATCGTAACATACAACATCAAGGTATATACAACATCAAACACATTCCAAGCTATAAATACAAGCTAAGGACACTTGAAGAAGCAAGAGAACAACTATCCAAGCAATCAAACACAAGAGAAAATCCCAACATGATAAAAACTGAACAGATCATAGCAATGTTCAAACTCAAGTTACTAATTAATGTCTAACTGAAAATATATGCATTCACACATAAAATACACATAATACAACGTTTGCATTTAAAAATCACCTAAGTTAATAAGACCAAAAGGTGAAGCCGGTTGTGATTGGGATTTTGATTTTGATTGCGATTTTGATTTCCTTTTGCTTGGCACCATATGAGCTTTGGATTTTGATGATGATCCATTTTTTGGTAGAGGAAAAGATGATTGTGATGGCACTCGTGATCCACAGGTCAACCTTGTATGACCACTTTCCTTGCATCGACTAAATGTCGATATCTCTTCTTTTCACCCTTAGACGGTATACGATCGTGATTTTTTGGTCGGCCAGGTAGCATGTTGTCCATGACTGGTGGCAAAACTGTTTGTAAGTCATCTGGTATGTCCCACTCAGAAGGATGTGGACATGGGTAGACAATCTCGGCATAAGTCTATTGATATACTTCTGTAGCGTAGCAATCCATAGCGTATGCGCTTGAATCATCTTAGTTTAGATGAAGAGCAACTTTTATAACATGGCCACACGGATAACCATATCTTTGCCATTTCTTACAACTACACATCTTTGCATTTAGATCGACAAGCCCATTTAAGTTATTATCAAATACTTCAAATAAAGTGTTTGAACATGGCTCAACTCTCCAGGACGTTGACTTCACAACATGTTTCGTTATCTTTTTTTCAGTCCATGGTGTAACACAACGTTCCAATGTTCCTGTAAATTTAAATAAATAAATAATACTTAGTAAAATATATGATAAGTTACGAATTTAAAGAAATAATACCTGCATGGTTTCTTTTCTTGTAGTACCACTGTTGAATAGAGGCTCGAAAAAACTCCATTAACATAGTAATGGGTAATTTTCGGGAATGACGACTTAGAGCGTTGATTGATTCTGCACTATTAGACGTCATAAAACCATATCTTGCTCCAAGTTGATGTACTCTTGCCCATCTTTCAAACCCGACATCTTCTAGTGTTTGAGCACATTGAGGCAAAACACGTCTTAAACAATTTATATGCTTATTAAAATCCACTTCCCGATAAGCTTTTACAGCCTTCCAGTATGTCAATTTGTGATTTTTTATACCAGCAAACCTTGATTTTAGATTTTTGTATAAATAAACACCACAAAGTCCGTGACAAGCATCTGGGAAACACCTTCTAACAGCATTATCAATTGAGTTTGCCTTATCGGATATGATTGTCAGATTGCTAATAGGACCTATGCAATCCCTAAGATGCCCCATAAACCATGTCCATGAATCAGAGGTTTCAGATTTGCCAACCCCGTAAGTTATTGGCAGTATCACATTGTTAGCATTCATGGCTACTGCTAATAAGTTTACTCCAAGGTATCGACCTTTCAAATGGGCTCCATCAACTATAATAACTGGGTACATGCAAGTAATAAACGAATGAATCTACAAAATCATATACACAAGAAATATAATCATTTAAATGTGAAATGCTTGCAACTAACAAGAATGAGTCAACAAAATTATAATTATTTACTAACCGCAGCACCAATGGCGATAAACAGCAACTCCAAGCGTCCATCTCCATCTGTTTTGATATGAGTTACCGACCCAGTATTTTTCAGCTTTAAATTGTGAAAATAAGCCGGCAGTTGGACAAACGATGCTTCTGGCGACCCCCTCAACACCTTTTTGTTTGCCTGTCTATGGTGAGAAAAAGCTTGGGTTCTTGAACATGTATGTTTATCAATAAAAGTCCTAACTTGAAACATTTCGCAATCTTTTATCCTCTTTGCAATCATACGCCACGTACAGTTTTTGTCAATCATACACCTTGTTTCGAAACGATCTTTGCTTGATTTGTTAACTCTTAGTTGATAGTCATCTTCCACACATTTCATATACAAAGCTATCTTCAAGTCTTCCTTTGTATCAAAACAATCATCTTTCTTGATACGAATAACTTTTGTGTAACAATCAACTGATATCTTTACCAACTATTCTTCCGGTATCTGAAGTAATTATGGCATATTCCAGTTATACTCCCGTGGCATTTTCTTCTTTTTTCTTTCTTCGGGGACTTCTTCTTTTTCTTCTTCAGGGTTATATGAATTACATAATGGATGTTCAACATGTTCATTCACAGTCGTAACTTCCTCCTCATTATCATCAACAACATCTTCCTCGGCAACGGCTGTTTCATCATCAAAATTCGGGTATTGACCAATATCAAAATCATTACATGCAGGGTTTGTTTCTTCTTCCATCACATCATCAAAATCCGAGTATTGACCAAGATCAAAGTTCGGGTATTGACCAAGATCAAATTTCGAATACTGACTAGTACTCACAATTTTTTCTGTTGGCTCATAATCGTCTAACTGGTCAATACGAAAACCGAAATTTGGTGCTGAAAGTTGATTGGGATTTGGATTAGGAAAAGGTTGTGGGTTTTGAGATTGTGTTTGATATTGTGTTTGGTATTGGAAATGTGGTGAAACAAAATTTGCTTGGTGATGAAATTGTGGTGGAACCATTAAATTTTGGGTTGAAAAACTTAGTTGATTACTACCCGCTACTGACCTAACTTCACTACTTCTAGGTTAAACAACATACAATGTAACAGCATCTTCTTGCGAAACACTAATGTAAGCAATGAATCGTTCAACATCTTCATTGTCAGTTAACAAATAAACTTTATCTTTTCTCTGATAAGATAGCCTAAATCCACTTAGAGGCTCTAAATTCAATTTCTTTGCAACACGTAACATTAGAGTTTCATAAGTTAACTTTTTTAATGACAGTTTTAGTTGAAGATTCATGGGTAAAAGCACATATTGTAAAACACCATGAACATTCTCCAATGACCCTCCAAAACACAAATCTATCCAAACATGATCAACATTAGATGATTTCATTCTACAAATTGTAAATTAATTTACTAAACAAACGAGCTATAAACTAGATATCATCACTAACTTAGAGAAAAACATACCTTTGTTAAGTTGATAGTTGATAATTTGGGAGAGAAATCATTGAAAAATTATATAGAAATAAAATTATGTAAAAAAAATAGAGATGGGAAAGGATGTCATTGGATATAGGAACGGATGTCGCCGGAGAGAGTGATAGATGAAGATGAAATGAGTTGCGATTTAGGGATTTAGGTTATGAGTTGTTGTTGTTGCGTTATTATATACCCAAAACATTTGTGTTGTGAAACTAAAACCTGTTGCGAAATTAAATTCGCGTTGCAAATTTGAAATTCAGTTGCGATTTACAAAGTCGCGTTGCGAATTTGACTTCTGTGTTGCGATTTACATATTCACGTTGCGAAATTGGAAACTGGGTTGCGAAATTGGAAACTGGGTTGCGAAATTGGAATTCGCATTGCGAATTTGAGATAGCGTTGTGAATTTGTTGGTCATTTTGGCAAATCCAAAAAAAAGTTGGTTAAATTCGTATATTATAAGGCATTTTTTGTTACTGAGGTTATTTTCTCTATTATTTATTAGCACTCCTTTTCATACGTAGCAAGAGCGAGCAATGCAAAGAAGCTAGCAACCAATATTTATCTATTTTACTTGTTCATCTTGAATTGGTCTTATTCATATCTCTTTCTATTAATTTTTCAATTTAATAGTTACACAAATGAAATAATATTCTCTGTTATGCCACAGAAATTCAAACAAAATGTATGACAAGCAATTGCAAAGTAATGATATCCACCCCTCATTTTATAAATTCCTAGAAACCATAGCATGTAACAGCGATCAAAATGGCAATGGTCAATCCTGTCCTTGCCCACCAAAACATTGCTCATGCCACAACCAACGAATCTCCTCCATTCGGTATTTCAGAGAATAATAATAATAAAATTAGTGTCATGCGTTGTAAGACATTCTCAACTCATCTATTAATTTTATTTATAGATAGAATCAGTTACCAAATTGAGACTTGGTGAAGGTGCTGGTGTTGTGTCATGTGTAGTTGGCACTGTATGAGGTGCTGGAGGGCTTGGAACCATTGGTGCAGGGTGCTTCCTGTGTCTGCGCCTGTGCCTGTGCTTGTGCTTGTAGGGAGCCGGTGCAGGAGCCGGTGGCAAAATAAATGCAGGTACTGGTGCTGAGGGCAGCTTTGCCGGGGCAGGTGCTGGTGGTTTTTGGGCTGGTGCAGGAGATGATATTGGTTGGGGTGGGATTTCTGGTGGTTGAGTTGGATCTGTGGTTGGAGGATTTTGTGGCGGTTGTGGGGGTGGTGTTTGAGGAGGTGGGACGGTTGGGCTTGTAGCTGGTGCAACTTGGGGAAGGGGGTTGGTTACAGGTGGTTGTGCTGGTGCGGTTGGTGTGGTGGTAGGCGGAGGCGTTGCTGTTGAAGGGGGTGGTGAAGTTGAGGGTGGAGGTGCTGCTGTTGAAGTAGGTGGTGAAGTTGAGGGAGGAGGTGCTGCCGTTGGCGGGGGTGGTGAAGTTGAGGGAGGAGGGGTTGCTGTTGAGGGTGGAGGAGCAGTGGTGGTTGGAGTAGTGGAAGGTGAGGCAACCGGTGATTGTGATTTTGTAATGGCTAGTTGAAAGGTGAGACTAGTTACAATGAGAGCCCAAAACATAGAAGCCATTTTTGTTTGATATGGGAATTGCATTTGCAGGGGAGAATATATACAAACAATAAACAGAGGAATAGTTGTAGTGTTTTGGAAGTAATAGGGAAAACTGATTGGTAAAAGGTCGGAGGGAGAGAAGTTCATTTGAAACTAACGTCCCTTCTACCAATGATTCGGGTTTGGCTGCATAATCCATCTCAGCAAAGCAATGGAGCGCAATGAAAGCCGAAGGACGCAAAGGCCAATCTCAACAAACTTGAGCACCGCTAAGCAGTCCCCAATTAAGTTTTAAAGCCCTGCCCCTTTCAAACTAAATATACTAACCCCTTTTAGCGTCGGTACAAAAGCGCGGTTCATAAATCCCCTCCTTCCTATAACTGCAAAAACCATTTTTTAAAACTATTTTGAATGGAGAAAACTTTATTCTGCATTGTATTTTTTATTATTCAAATGGAAATGGACCATCTCACACACATGATATGCAAATGAATAATTAGCATTATTATTCAAATCAACCATTTGGTCAGAATATCTCAAAATGACTTTTGCAGCTGACATTGTACTTCCTCTATTTCCAAACATGCTAATGAAATCACTTTGCATTTTTACAACAAATTAAAAGCTCTCTGATAAACTTAACACAAGCACATATTACCAGCCAAGTTATGCTTGCCTTTCCACCTCCAGGTTCCCAAGCCTTGGTTAGCATGCTGTGTATCCTGATGAAGCAAGTTTGGGCTATGGATACTATATTCTATACTAATCCATTTTGTCAATTTGAACGTTTTGTCTTGTCTGTCAATAGTGATTTTCTCCTTGAATTTATCTCTTTGGCCCAACTTTTGCCAATCTCTGAATTTTCCTGAAAAAATCACAGGGAAGCATAAGTGCGTGCATAAGAACTGAAAGTAAGATCAAAAAACATATCCATGGTTTCCCTTATTATATCCTACTTCTACCTTCTGTTGAAAGGAAAATTTCATCCAGCACCTTTCCAAGCTCTGCAATAGTATCATAATATCAAATAATAAATTTAGATAATTATATAGAAAATTTTCTCAAGACCTTTCACATTTTTAACCATAAATAAACAAAACCCCTTACCCATTTCATATTCCAGTGCTTGCAGAATCAATTCAACCTGGTTGTGAACACATAAATTCAATAAAATAGAGGAAAGGGTAATAGTTATATATTTATATATGCGGGTGAGGGATAGACAACACATAAATAAGCACAGTTCCACATCATTAACACAATCACAATCAGTGATCATGTTGCGTTTGCATCAGAGAAAAAATACAAGGTAATAATCTATGAGAATTTCTAGGTTCATGTATTGACTATTTTGCCCCCAACCTCCATTTGCTTTCTTCTACCACCCTCATCCAGAAGAAGGTTGTTAAAAACCAAACTTGTGAACATATAGTCAGCCGGACTTTACAGCCCGAAGAATGATCATCCCAAATGCATCTTATAAATATAGCATATAGCATTATCAAAAATCAAGTTCCAAGAGAGAGAGATTCATAGAAATGTCATATCCAATTAACACTTAAAACAATTAATAACTAGCAAACTACGAAATTGATAAAACAATTAACAACTAGCAAACTACGAAATTGAACTTTCAACAAAAATTATCACTGCAATTGTGTGAGAGCATGCACAAACAAATGAATTCCATCACATAACACCTTGTCGAAATCTTTCACAAGGTTAGCTTCCAGAGAAGCATTATTTTCATATTCTGCCCACAGTTCTTGGATCTCCTCAGCTGCAGATAAAAAAATACCAAATTAACATGAACAGATGCAACAAATAAACAGTTTAGCAACTCAAAATTCCCAAATATAATATTGGCTACGAAGTACCTCCCATTCCTCCACCCAGAATTTTGCACATTTCAGTTATCGCTGCTTCTGCTTTTTTCTTCTTTAGGCACACCACAAGATGGTGTTATATCTCCAACAATAGCTGTCAAAAGTGAAAATCTGAACTCAAAACTCAAACTGTAAGTTGCATAGTGTGTGTATGAGCAGGCAACATGTGCATCGAAATATGGCATCAGATATGTGGTTGCTCAACATGCGCTCCAATCCACCCATATAAAAAAAAACATTGACTTAAGAAAATTAACAAGATGGTTCTAAAAGTTCAACATTGTCAACTATCTAGATTATCAAAGTAAAAACTTCTATGGTACCTATTACCTAACTCATAGACTTCCATTCCTTTGAGGTAAACAACTTCTGTACCATTGCTGATTTTAAATCATAAATATTTGTATAGAACGGCTATTCCAAATTTCATGTACACTAATGATTATGATGAAAGATACAGACATAGGAGAGTACCTTCTGCAATATCATGAACAATTGCTATCTTGATACACCTGCAAAAGTCACAAGGAAAAAGACAGAGCTTACCTAAACAACATTCGACAAAAACAGAAAGCAAATAAAAGTTCCAAAAAAGAAATAAGTAAGGATAGAAAATCACATATGATATGATATGATATGATATGAGAGTGAACCTTTCTCTATTCACACCAGGAAGGTCACTGGCGATCAAAGCCATCAACGCCATGCGAAACATATGGTCAGCAACTGATTCAGGACCCTTTATCCCATGATTGATCCAGCCCTTCCTTTTCGTGGTCTATGGGATAAAAAGTAATCAGTAACTATAATCTTTTATTCCCTGCACGATTAAACTGGAAAGTGGAAACTACGGGATAGAAAGGTGGGTTTAAGCAAAGATAACACAGTTATTAGAAGATTTTTCTAATTTTTGGCTCATCAGCCATATTTGTTCACTCTTAGTTGGTATCTAAACAGCTAATAGTGCAATTAAATTATTGAGTAGCTTTAAATCTTTACTCAAAACGCCTTTAATTACACTAGTAAAGTTGATGGAAATTAGAGACTACAAGGAAATAGAAAGGAACGGTACAAATTTCCGTTATCATTTATACCTTGAGCCTGTGGCACAAAGTGAGAAAATCAATGGATGAAGTCGTCGGCGAATCGGTCTCAGTCGTAATGACGGATTTGCCAGAACAAGGTTTGTTAGAATGGACAGAGACGATCCTCAGTGTCGGAGGTCTGGAAGAGTAAAGGGGTCGAAAGGAGTATGCGCGGGACATGAAAACGACAGGCGAGCGGTGGTGTGCGACGCTAAATAACGGAGGCGCGCAGTGCGTACAAGTATTAGAAGCCATTGCGTAAGTTGGGGGGGGGGGCGCAGGGCAGGTCGTGCGCCGGAAATTTAAAGCTTTGGACTTAGTTGGGTTTGCGGGTATTGATGGGGACCGATAAACGAGGTCCGATTTGGTTGGGCTACCGATCAACTTTGGTCTTAATGCGAAAACTCAGGCTTTCTTCACACTTTCTCACTTTACTACGTTTAACGGATCCCATCTATTGACCCTTCTAGAAGGAAAAAATTAATAAAGGCCGTAGAAACCGAGACCTTTAATATTATATATATTTTTATTCTGAATCATTTTAATATGGATAAATTACACCATTCCCCACTAAACTTTACTCTCTTCTATTGTACTCATCATATTTTCAATTTTTCTAATCTGCTCACCAAACTTTACATATTGAATCATTTTGCTCACTCTATCGTTAACTTTTTAACGGTGTTATGATATGGTACAAGCATAAAAAAGAGTCATTTTGAAAAACTCAAATATACACCAAAACAACATCGTTTAAAATCCTCTTCTTTCCCTCATTTTCACTCTACTTTGCAAATAAGGTGACCAGTTATCGTGGCTAGTCACCACATCATTTTTCATTCCAGCCACCGTCTATCATCATTGATGATGGTCGTTCGATCTCAAAATTCATAGGTCAATTCGTCTCGACCCCCTAAGTCTGAATCTGGTATTTGTTTAACAAAAAATGTCCCAAAATTCATGATTATCGAATGAAACGTTTCGATTTCCTCAATTTCAATCTCCAATTCATGGACTTCAGAGCAAGTTTCGACAAAATGGAGGTCGCATTTGGACTCAAGGTGTCCAGGCGAAGCGACCCATGAAATTTGGGACCAAACGGCCACCCTCTACAGCGGTCGACGATGGCATCCGATCACCTTTTATTTTATAGTTGGATGAGTAAAATAGGAAAGAGAGTAAACTTTACTGAGAAACGATGTAATTTACCTTTTATATTTTTAATTATTTTATATTTAATAAAAAAATTGCACGTTATCACAACGTTAGAGAGATAATATATGAGTGAGCAAAATGATCCATTCTGTAAAGTTTAGTGAGCAAATTAGGAAAAAATGAAAGTACGGTGAGTAAAATAGGGGAGAAAGAGAGAGTAAAGTTGAGTGAGGAACGATATAATTTACCCTTTTAATATTTAAATTTAAATTATTATTCTCGAATCAAGATGATTTGAAATTCATATTTCGGGACAAGTTTATGGTGGATGAAAAATCACAATTTTTTAGTTGAGAGTCAAATAAATCTTTATTTTTCAAGTAGGGATCCAAGCAACCAAAAATCAAACTCATCCCATTTTACTTTGCTGTCATCCCTAAACCATATTCTAATGAATAATATAGATAGAGAAGATCAGGGAGGTACGCATGATTTTATATTTGAAGATGAATTTGAACTTATAAAATTTCAGGGGACGAACTTGAACTTATAAAATTTTATGGCGCAAAAACATATTTTCTATAAAAAATACATAATTTTTAAAAAAAAAATATATGATAATTTTGAATTTTCAAAGAGTTGCGATCATCCCACCTAGGTCCGAGAAGATCAAGCATGGGTTTCACTCCATTGTCTTTGGCCTCTCCTTATCCTATATGTATTCATAAAAGTTGGCACCAAAAATAAAATATTCCAACATGGATCATTAGTAGAGGGTGTTAGCCAAATTGGTAGTAGTCATACATATACCAAAACCAAAATCTGGCCAAACAATTGAGTTGCAATTCTTTAGGTTTAGGGTGAATGCATGCACAGATGTTTAAATTACACTCAAACCAATCACGTTGAATTCAAAAGCATACTTAGTTTGTATGC